TCCTTGTATTATGCCCGTGTTAAGTTTGAACTTATGACTCTGCTTTCCCTTGAAACGTATACTGTTATCACAGTCTTTGTATACGTATATAGCAGATCGTCTTTTTCAAAGGGGCGGCGAAATTATTTTAAACCTTTGGCAAAGTAATGAAGCAACAAGCTTAACTAAATCTTATCCTAACTCGGCCTGTACATGTATTTCAATGTATTAATAACTTTTTTTTATTACTTTTATCATATTATATGTAATAATATAAACAGTTTTGAGAACGACTTATCGCATAAAGCTATCATACGCAAAAATTCTTAACCAACACAAATATCATTTTTATCGAATATCGCCATATCAAGAAATTTGACAAGAAAAGGTTAGAGATAAAATTTAAAAATATAAATTATTTTTAATATAATTATAAATTATTAATTACATTATAAATTTTAATTATTTATAATTAATTTATTCTCAGCACCATTAGAAAGACAAGCAGTCTATATAATATTACACTAAAAGTAATAAAAATTGTATAATATTCATATCAACATAAAATATCTTTCTGTTATAAAAAATTTAATAAAAAATAAATAATTTGATTTTTATTTGATTAATTTTTTATCAAAAATTTGAGACAAAATTGTTTATTTTATGTGAAGTAATCCATTCCAACAATACCATAACAATATCAGAGACTTATAATTCTCATCTAGTTGAATATTAACTTTCAATATATATTATATCACTGAAATTTGTACTAAGTACAATTTTAATACCGAAATGTCTCATTAAGCTTTGTTTACAATGTCATACGATTTCTTTTTTTACGTAAAACTTAGTACGACTTAGTTTTTAATAAATTAATGTTAATAAAAATATATAAATTATCAATTTCTTTATTTTACAAAAAAATGGCGTATATATACGTCAGTAACTGCAAACATTATAGCTTTTTCAAAACTATGGTTGCGGTGCTCCGCTCCGTTAGGAGCCGGCCCCTTGTATTTCAATTCTGTTCTATTCTGTTGGTTAAAGTGTCACTTTAAAAAACTCAAAACTTTCCCTGATGAGTTTGTAAGATTTAAAAACGAGGTAGAACTTTGCCTGGCAATGATACATAGTCGTATTGAAGTACTAGGTAATGTAGATTCGATACTACAATGTATGAAGTTGAATTATGTCCATGAGGGACAGAATAGATCTCTAGATTGTAGTGGAAGTTATCCAATATATTAATAATAAAATAATTTATTAAAGTTAAGGTAATCTTGTATACTGAAAACTAACAATTACAAATAATATTTAGTTTTTAGCGGTTTAATAATAATTCGTTATTGAACTGATCGAACAACATAGTATTCCTAAGGAGGTTGGTTAGTTAGAAATTGAGATAACAAAGCATTAAAGTAATGGATTGGAAAATCGAAAATACAAACTTACGTTTACTAAAACATTATTGAAATAGATATCTTAAAATTTAAAAAGTAAACAGTAATAAAATTATACTTTCTCACATATTCATAAATAATATATGAAATCTTAAATATTTCCATTTTTTAAGATATTTAACATTTATATTTTTACTTAAATATCATATTTTCCTAAATCATTAATTTAATATTGTGTTTATTTTTTAAGTAAAAAAACACACCAAAATTAGGTTTAATATCTTGTAATCTTGAAGTAGATAAATAAACCTACCAGATATGCAAATGAAATGTATTTTTTATATTTTATCAATTTCCCATCAAAGCTATCTAGTTTCGGTAGTAACCGATAGTATTCAACGTATTTTTTTAAAGTCTTATCTTACCTTGAATTTAAATACTTCAAATATATTAAGAAATCATCAGTGTGGGTACGGATGGTGCATTAAAGCATCAACCATCATACTTTTCCTCTGTCTAAATACGAATATTTAATGATGCACATTGATCACAGCCAATTAACCATGTTGCGTCCAAGGTTTTACTGAAAAAAGAAAGTTTCGCTTCTCAGTTTGGGTATGAACGCTCCAAAGAGATCTGAATGGTAAGAGTTCTGCTTTTATTGCAGATAAATTTTATTTATGCTTATAAGCATATTTAGAGGCAAACCAAATTCGATTTTAAATGGTGTAGTTAACATTCAATTTAATTTTAATTTTTATACATTAATTTTAAAAAGAAATTTATTTACATTTACTAAAAAATTCTTTAAAAAGCATTTACAAAATAAAAGAGTTAAAAATTATTTTATCTAATGGTTTAAGTTTAATAAATTCTTTATATATTATAGGTACAATTGAATATGGTATTTAGTAATAAATTTATATATATAATTCTTTATATATAATTGTACATATATCTTATTAAGTATCTTATTAACGAGTTGCTTAAATATCCATAAATGGGATATATGCATATCAAAAGGATATCAAAATTTATATATATAATTCTATGTATCCAATTATACATATATCTTATTAAGCAGTTGCTTAAATATCCATAAATGGGATATATGCATATCAAAAGGATATCTAAATTTATATATATAATCCTTTGTATCCAATTATACATATATCTTATTAAGCAGTTGCTTAAATATCCATAAATGGGATATATGCATATCAAAGGGAATGTTTTAAAGTATATGACCTCTCTTTCGTGAAATGTATGTTAAAATGTCTGAACAAATACCAAAATTGAACGACAGCAGACTTATCCATCTCGGCAATAGACTTCAAATAATTTTATATAGCACTCTACTGATCGGTTAAGGAGACTGTGGAAAGCACATCATGGTACCTGTGTCGTGATGCATTGTATTTTCTATATAAAAACAATAACAAATATTATGCACAGCTTTTACTATAACTTTAAATATAATATAATGCAATTAAAGAGTGAATATTTAGCATTTGATTTCTTATTATAAAATTACTTAAACAGTTTATAATTTATTAAAAAACAAGAACATATCAAATCACTAAAACTTATGCCCCAATAACATTTTCCAATTGTGAATAGTTCCCCAAAATATAGAATAGAGCAACACGAATCATGCATCAAACTCTATCAAAGATTATCTCATTGGTAAAAAGAATAATATGCTTAACGGATTCCAATCAGGTTTCAGAGAAAATTACTTCTAAGCAACTAATTAGAAGATCAAGAACGGCAAAAGTTGTACCCGGTTTATAAGGATTTTGGGGCAATAAGTAGTTGATTCAGTGTACAAACCGTTCTACAAGAAAAATTAAATACTATGGATTTGTATATAAAAACTTTCCATATTATTTTATAAAAAGTTTATACTATGGAAAGATATGGGATAGCAAATATATTTTTGAATAGTTTGAAACAAATACTGGCATCAAACACTATTGTGTTTTAAGCCCATTGTAGGTATATACTATTTTTGGAATTATAATAAAAAATAAATATATTTTATTATTATTATTATTTTAAATAAATACAATAAAAAACCATGGGAATGTTTAAAAATAAATAGATCAAGTTATAATTTACGTAAGAGTAGCTATTTTCATGTTCGATATCGATATCGAGACTATAAGCACCATATTGAGAACAAGAAGAGGTCTCTGAAATTATGCTATATATATATTATGCTATTTATATCTAAATTAAGCTTATTTTTTAAAATGCAAATAAAAGATGATATGATTTCTTTTGCAGGAGAATGCTTTTCATTTTATTAATAAAGCAATATTTATTTAAACAAACTTTTACTGAACACTAAAGAACTAAAGGATATGTTAAACGGATAGAATTGGATAGCACTAATAAAATATATCAATGAAATCATGTTGTAAAAAGAAAATATTAGAAGGACATTAAAATATATGCAATTAAATGTAATACACAAAAAAACTAATATAAATTCAATATTTTTCAAATAACTACCACTGCAATATAATTAAGTTAATTGCACTGCAATACTTTAAAACTGACCTCACTTTTCCTGTTAATTTTTCTACTGTTTTCTTTTGCCTCTTCTCTCCTTTTTTCGGTAGATTTCAGCAAGAACAGATAGTTCCCTAAACACCTATTAACAGCGTATGAACATTTCTATTCTTTATAGCCGCCCAATTATAAAAATTGAGATCAATTAAACAGAATATAACTTATTAAAGTTAGATTTTAATTAGTTATATCACATAATATTCTGACTTTTATTACTATTAATTAAAATTTAAAATTATTATTGTTAATTAAATGTGAATTATACTCGTAACATGGCTCCAACAGGCGACTATACCAGTCATTGTTTTTAGTTCACAGTTAAAATATATTTAAAATATAACTAATGCGTTATCGATTGGTAAATCTGGGGAACTTTTTTAATCGAAATCAAAATGTATAACACTCGAGATTAATTTACAATAATCTAGACATTTTGCTAGATTAGCAAGATTATCTTGAAATTAACAGCTGTTTTATATGATTTGGCAAATAAAGTGTGATTACATTCGATATATCTATTTATAAAATATATAAATACCTACTAACACCGCTACACAAATGTTAGATCTACAAAGGATCGCTGAGCAACCAAATTTTACAGATCGAAAGTAAATCTGGATTGGATCAAGATTTACTAATCGAAAACGTTAAAATTTAAATATACTTGAATTAAAAGAACTCCTACATAAGAAATTTCTTCAAGTCGAGCCACGTTTAAGAATGTACACAAATAAAACGTGACTAGTCAATGAAGACCCCATTATTTTTGGAAAATGACCCCAAATAATTAATGAAGTGGTGAATCTTAAGAATTACACATTTCATAGGCCCAAAATAATTATTAAACAATCAAAATAATTTAGTTGTATTTATTTGTATGTTCTTTATTTAAATTTAAAATCCTATAACTCTAAAATAAATAACTTTTATATTGGAGATGTACTATAACGACTTTTTTGCTTCAAATTACAATATTTGCCTAATTCATTATTTTACATTAAATTGCTTAACTAATTAATTAAAAAATATCAGTTAAATCACAATATATTTTTACAACTGATTGTATATAATTTTTAATAATTTCACCTTTTACTATGATATTAAATATATCTCATATCTCAATCGTTTAGTACAAACTTTGCGACTCCAATCAGTAGGACTGTGGAGACTACAGTCAGTATATTAACATTCATATGACTGACATTATTACAGGCGTCCTTGTTACAAGTATTGCATGATTTATAGGTATTAACTTCATTTTTCAATTTTAAATTACAAGCATCGACGGATGTGTATACACAGCCTTTATAAAATTGAGTAGAGTTTGTCGAATCTAAAATAATTCAATGAGTTTTAGATTGTCTCGAACTAAAATTTCAAGGACTAATACTTACTGTTGTGTATATATGAGTCTAGGCAGTTATAAGATGAGCTGATCAAACTGGTATTTACATTTAAGAAATATAGATCTAGATACGATGATGTGCTATTCGCTAAAATTTGATTGCAGGTTTCCAAAACGGGGCTATTGCAGGGGTCGTAACTATAACATGAATAGCACTGCAATCCATTAACTATTAAATTAAATAAAGTTTTAATACGATCATTATTAAAAATAATGTAAAATGTGTGTTTTAATATGAAATATACGATGATAAAAAATATATAGTTATGATTTATCAGATATTTTTTTTCACTAAGTTTTTTAGTACGTTGCATTTCGTGTATTTTTTGTATACTATAAATTCCTAGCATTCACTCTTCTCCGTTTAAAATTGAATATGACATGTTATTTAGTATATTATTATGAAGTTTTTAATTTTTTATTTATTTTTTTGAGTTTAAAAAAAAATTGTTTCCGTAATCTTTAAATTTTGAAATACACTGTCAAATAAAAGTATTAAAATCTATTTTATCCCATCCACTTTACAGAGTTCTACAGGTAAAATTATACAAATCACACTTGATGAAATTTATTATTAATTATTTAATAATTATTAATTAATTTATTTATTGAAAATTATTTTTTTTATTGTTTGGATATTTTTACTAAGTGTGACCTATAGCATTATTTCAGTGTTCGCAACAGGCCATCCATTCATTATATTATTTGATTCAACACAACTGGTAATTTTTTAATATACTTATATGTATATAAAATATATTATTAACGCACGTTTTTATGTTTAATTTTTGAGTTCTGTATTTTCACATGTCAAATATTTTTCACTTCTAATTTGACAAGCAGCAGTTCTAAGCCTGGTACTTGCAGTCCAAACATTATTATTAAATTATATATGGACTATAAACTAATTAAGAAACTCGAATGTTTCCTAAGACTTGGCATGATGAGTACTTGACAATACTCGAAACAGCATTGTATGGTCACCCAAATTTCAATAAATTAAATAAATTTTTGTGCTTTTCTTTTCTTTGCTATTCGAATCCGTCTAACGTTTAAATAGTTTCTTTTCGTCATAATGACGCGTCACTCTCGGCAAGAAAAAATTAATATTTTTCATATGATTTAAATTATAATTTTTTTTTTAAATATTTATGTAATATAATTAACTCACTTGAAACAACACCAAAAATACTTATGATAACAGCAGCACCGATGACACATCTTAAAAACATTTTGATTATTAATTTATATTAAAATAATATTGAAAGCAATCCGCTAATAGCTTAATAGTTGGCGACCCACAAGTCAATAGATTATATTTTAACTGCTCTGGTTAATATAACGGTTGGACCTTATCACTAACACTTCTTTTATCAGTGGCATATTTATAGTTTTTGTGCTTTTCTCATAATCTCGTAAATTTCGTGAGAAAAAAAATTTTATTACCTTAAAAAATTCTTTTTAAAGAACTATGGCTGATATTGAATTTTATCACTTGCAATTCAGAAATATTATTTAGATTATTATTCATTACACACTATGAATCATAAGTATTTTCTATTTAACTAAACATTATTTGATACTTCAAAGAAATAAAATTATTCAGCCTTAACATAAATTAATAAAATTTATAATATTATTAATATTACAAATATATTTGTAATATTTTGAAAATATCGCTTGGAAAATTTTAAGAACAAGCAAAACCAAGAATACGTATCTACGATATATATATCTACCATATTTTGATAAAAAAGTATAATAATATCAAAATTAATTACGACCAAAATATGTTTTATGAATATTATTAAAAATGAAGAAAACTAACAATATATACCTACGATACATATATCTACTATATATTTATAAAAGAGCGTAATAATATTTTTTCGCCATTATCTTTAAACGATCGAGCTAACACCCACATGCTCATCAAGATGCAAATAGCAATCTAAAACGCTCATTTTATATAAAATTTTTTCTAACAAAATAATCAGGTCAATTAAACTAATATGTGGTTAGAGCACATCTTGCTGAGTGTGCAGTATCAGTATCTTCCAACTAAAAGGCTTTCCAATTATGGAGATATGTAGGATGCTTCTCGCAGTAAACACCTCCAAAAGTGACAGAATGATAGCTTAACGGATGTTTCCTGCAAACCACACATTCAAGTATCTGAGAATGAAAACTTAAAAATGACTAAATTTACACAATTAAGGCCTTGAATTAAGCCTTTTCAACAGCCTACTTAAAGGAAGAAACTAAAGAAAGCTAAGCTACCTTAGACTTTCTGAACTAATTGCCGAAAAATTGAAGTACAAAGGGAAACGGAATAGTCGGTTAATTGCGTAGAAAGGGATCTGAATTGCAGGAAACTCTTGCAGAAATGAGCCTCAAACCATTAATGTGATTAGTGGTGTTAACACTAAAATATGGAGGTGAAGCAGATAATATAAAAAAAACTTCCATCATGTTGGATAATGGAACACTATCGCCGCGTAACAATTTAAAACAAATATTATCACTAATCAGCTGAAACAAAATGGATCTTTTTGGACTGATTGGACTGATTAGATATTTACTGTCATATAATCTGAAAAATAATTCGGTTGATTTAACCAGATTTTAACTAAATATTCTTAGTCGACACGTCATGTGGTTCAACTATACCTCATGTTGGTTTTTATATTTTCTTAACCACATTAGCTAAAATTTTTTTAACTAGATAAGATCATATTTTTCTAACTGTAACTGAAAAAGAAATACTATTCTACCCCGTGTTCTTTGGGGGCAGTAAAAAATAATCTTAGGTTTGATATTTTTAAATATTGTGGAATTAGTGATAATGAATAGTAACGAAGTTCACAGATTCTTAAACCGCACAGTTGGGATCTAACAATGGTCTTAGGTTTGACATTTTTAAATATTGTGGAATTAGTGATAATGAATAGTAACGAAGTTCACAGGTTCTTAAACCGTACAGTTGGGATCTAACAGTGCTACCTGCACAAAATTTCGAATAATCAGTTGGTGACAAGGATATTGGCACTAACACAGTGCGTTAATTGCAGTTATTGGTTAAAGATTAATATATATAATATATATATATATTAATAATTATTTAAATTTGTATATGGATTGTGATTGATAAGATTGTTTGTGAAAATTTATAAAGTTAGTCAAAATAAGTGTTTAAAGTAACTAAACAAAATCAAACACAATAGATTAGATAATTTTATTCTTCAGATTTTACTATTCAATTTCAAAAAATTTTTTAACATATAATAGAATTATGCCTTAAGTCTAAAAACATAGGTTAGAGTTACTTAAAAATATATTGAAAAACAAAGAATACGACAATGACTTATAGTCGTCGTCTGTTGAAAGTGCTGGTTTTATATAAATTCACCTAATAAATTTCAAACACAACAGTCTGTACCGTATGAAGTGTATCAACGCTTCGGTTTGACCAAAGATAATGGTTTTCTTGTTATACTAAATACAATAAATATTTTTTTTATTTATTTCTAATTTTGTCATCACGGTGTGTATAAAGCCTATACATATATATATAGTTATATTTTTCAAATTTGTTAATCTTAATTTTACAAAAAATTGATTTAGATTATCTGATTTGAGACCGAAATAGTTAACAGTAAGAGAGCGAAGCTCGCGGTCATTCCGTTTCATAAGAAGAGTGGCATTTTTATTGCTCTGATTAGTTCTGAGAACGATAAATAGAGTAATGAAATAACTCCCTCTATTAAATTTATAAATACATTTATCATTATTACTATTGTAACGACACTTTCTTTGAGTCGTTGCTTATTTGCCGAGGTATGCTCAGTCTCTCCAGGATCGTTACAATAAATTTTTAATTGAAACCAAAATATTCAGAGACACGTTTATGTTTTCTGGATTTTATTAATTAGTAGAAGAAAATTATTTATTATTAAAGTTATTTAGTTGGATAAAATTTTACAATTAACAAATATTGGTAAAGTTTAGCTTAATATTATTAGTAACTGCTTAAATCTTCCAAAGGACCTGTATTGATTTGAATATACCAGGATGCTCTGTAGTGTTTCCAATAGTTATTCGGATGTTGTGATTCACCTTGATAGCTTAGATTTTTCTGTATTGATTTGATTATAACAGAATGCTCTGTAGTGTTTCCAATAGTTATTCGGATGTTGTGATTCACCTTGATAGCTTAGATTTCTAAGGGGAAAATATGGTTAATATCGATAATTCTTGATATAGAATTATCCCTCGTGTATATATTCTGTGAAATTATATTATCTACACTAGACGTAATTCGACCACTTGAGATAATATAATTCGACTTTGTGCAATAATTCTTGATGTAGAATTATTGATATGAATTGCTTTAGCTTTGTATTGATAATTCCTGATGGGGAATTATCCTTTGTATAAATATTCTGTAAAATTATATTATCTACACTAGACGTAATTCGACCACTTGAGATAATATAATTCGACTTTGTGCAATAATTCTTGATGTAGAATTATTGATATGAATTGCTTTAGCTTTGTATTGATAATTCCTGATGGGGAATTATCCTTTGTATAAATATTCTGTAAAATTATATTATCTACACTAGACGTAATTCGACCACTTGAGATAATATAATTCGACTTTGTGCAATAATTCTTGATGTAGAATTATTGATATGAATTGCTTTAGCTTTGTATTGATAATTCCTGATGGGGAATTATCCTTTGTATAAATATTCTGTAAAATTATATTATCTACACTAGACGTAATTCGACCACTTGAGATAATATAATTCGACTTTGTATAATAATTCTTGATGTAGAATTATTCTTTGTTTTGGACTTGAATTTATTTTATTTTTTTACTAGGTGTATGTGCCTTAGTGATTATATGCCAAGTCTCTCGTATAAGAAAATTGCGCGTCTTATATACCCATTCGACCGAGCTTTTGTGTAGCGTATCATTTTATTTACAGCTGATCTCACGTAATTCTTGTTTAATTTTTGCCGTTCTGCTTTTCTATTTCGTGTTTGTGCGGTACTCAGCTTGTGCATTTAACTTCTCTTTAAGCTTCTCTTACGGCGAATATTTTTGGCAGTTCTTGCTTTCTTATGTTAACGCTGCTTTGTTTTGATTCTTACAAAACGTGTTTTAAAACTACATTCGGTCGGTGGTGGTTTTATTTATTTTGTTTGTTACGATAAATAAAATGCAAATTTAATAAAATTATTAAAAATATAATTAACAATAAATAAGGTGAGTTTATTATTTATTTATTTAATTATATTTTATATTTCATTTCACTATCATTTCAGATTAGTTTAAGATGTTATTAAGGTTTGCAAGCGGTTTGGTTTTTGGTAAATTGTTTTGAATAAATATTTTAAATATTAATTAATCTATTTAATTCCAGATATTTGCAACATTTATCACCAGTGAGTCCACTTTTCCAGGTTTAAATATAAATATAAAAAGTGTGTCGTTTTGTAAAAGAAAACTGTGTTGTATTGATGTGTTTTAGTTCGTGTTGTTATTGTTTTTAGTGCACGTTTATGTAGGTGGAAATTTAGTATAAATTTCCATCCTTACACTATTAAATAAAATTATTTTGACCATATTTACCTCTAAAAATAAATGTGTATTTATTTTCTAAGAAGTCAGCACGGAATACCTCTTTCAACGCAAATTTCACGCATAAAATTAATTTTATAGTTGTTTTGAGTCATTAAATTTGTAAAGAAAAGAATACAAAAGAGTACCTAAAGCTCCTGCCAAAAAACTGTAGTAAAAAAACAATGAAAATACCTTTTTTTGTATATTTCTAGCATTTAAAAATGTACTTCCAACAAACACATAATTAAGGTTAATGAAATCCTAATTATCTGATGGCAGCAGTCACTAACAAAAACGGCTGTAAAACGCATAAAACAGCAAAAGCACATCCTTGATGTGTGTATGGCTCGTTATATATGTACTAGGGAACCCATTTTTTGGGTCAATAGTCGCAATGTCTACATAACCCTTTCGGTCGGTTACAGTGCGTATAAAAAGTCATTAACAATTCAATAAAATAAAATTTTATTTTGTTCGCATAAAAAGGCACTAAAAGGTTTACTACAAATTTAATGCGTTCAGTGAAACATCAAGTTTCTTCATTTACTACGGCGAGGTGAGTTGACCAAATTTAAACGAAAAACTCATTTTTTGGAGGCTTTAAGATCTTCACTCAAAAAAGCAGTTAGTCAGCTTCTTCCCACGTTGACTACTAAATTAAATACAAGAAAAAACAAAACAAACACAAAATTAAGTTTATCAAGATTTGTTATCTGAATTATTCAATGTTGCCC